GCGGCAGCAACTAGAACTGGATGATGAACTGAAAAGTGTTGATAATCAAATGCGTTATGCCCAAATGCAGCTGGACAAGTTAAAGAAAACCAACGTGTTCAATGCTACCTTCCATATCTGGTAAGAAAAGCAATTTGGATAGACTGGGATGGGAGTTAGCAGAAATGTAGTGGAGTACCAGTAGTTGAATCTGGTTGGAGGAAAATGCATTTAAGTTGCAACATACATACAATAGCATATTTGGTCATTTAGGCTCTGCAAAGTTGAGAAATTCAGAAGACTCTGGACAGCATTAGAGTGGATATAATAGTTTCAGTTTAACTTTGCTGCAAAAGTGTGACTGGATACTGTTTTCAGTTTATACTTTACAGTATTCAATCATGGTTGGATTCTTACTTTCCACTTTTTAAGAAGCAACTCTTCTTTAAGAGTCTTAGGTCGCTCACCATAAATAAATAAGCTTTTTAATCAATATATTATTCCCCTTTTGAGGGTACTATCTGTAGTATTTTTTAATGAAAACTAATTAGTAATATTTCACATGGGGTCTTGTCCAAGAGCCTTCCATCCTTGTTTTAAAATTTCAGATTCCTTTGCCAAACTGACGGGGGCTCATAGAGTTGAATTTTAAATAATCTGGGCAATACCAGGCTGACTTCCTCTACTATAGACAGATTTTCATAAAAGCTATGGATCTTGATGTTTATGTTTGGAAAATCATTTAAACTTTGGACAAGTGTCCAAAAATTGCTTAAACTTGTTTGTACTGTGTTTAAGATTTTTCTGTTTCCCTCAAAAGCTAGCTGATTAGATTTCTTCTTGCATAGGCATAGTGGGCAGTTTGGCACAATAAACAACTTTCGACTAGGCCGCCTCCCAAGTGTCCCTGTGGAATGGAATGAGATCAACGCAGCCTGGGGGCAGACTGTTCTGCTTCTCCATGCCCTTGCCAACAAGATGGGTTTGATCTTTCAAAGGTAGATACAGAGACAACAAGCCACCACTCCTTTTGCCAGCCATAGAAATGGCAAGATTAATTAACCTGTTTGCTGGTTTAGAAGGCCATACAGTACTTTTCAGTCAAATTATTCTTAAGTAACTGTTTCTTGCAGATACCGCCTTATTCCATATGGAAATCACTCTTATTTAGAGTCTCTTACTGACAAATCCAAGGTAAGAGATTTCCTCACATTTTAGTTTCCAAGAATCCTTTTCATCACCTGCATTTTGGACTTCTAGAGTACTGTATCTGTTTATACTTAGAAGAGATTAGTCAGTTCAGAACAAGCCTCTAGAACACTCGGTGAAATTTTTTTTTGAGCAATTCTGCATATGCTGAATTCTAAAAAAAATCTAGGTTGCTCAAAGTTTTTACATAGCTTGGCTATTCCACTTTAAACATGTTGAAATATATTGGCTTTCTCAGTATTTATTGATGGGAAATGGGATGCTAACTTAATAAAATAATACAGAATGATTTAGCTAATAACATTTTTAGGCTAATGAAATATACATGCTAAAATTTAAATGATAATTGAATTTATATTTTGGAAATATCAGTACAGCATTGTGTTTTATGCAGTATAAACAAATGTAGTAAATATACAGCTTAAATATGTGAACACCATACTACATATGTATTTAGGGATGTGTTTGAATGTTATCTTACAATTGTACTGTTTAATTTGATATTTTATATAGTCTTCTTAAATATAGTACTGAATATCTGGCACATCTGCATGAATAAGTGCTTTTTGGTAGCATCTCTCTACACTTTTTTTTTTACCCTGTCATAGAGGCTGCCTATGTTTTGCACTGGGCATCAACCCCACCATGCAAGAAATGTAAAAATGAATTATAAGGTAGACTCTGTCTGATAGATCCGTATAAGTCTAGATGGAGAGTAGTCATTCATTCTCCTCGTGCTGAACTAGAATGGAAGGGAAAATGTGAATAGTCCATGGTTCTGCATCTCAAATCAAAAGGATATTTTCAGTAGGACTTATTTTCTTACCGTAAATTTAGAAATTGAAAAATCATTGAAAAACCTGGATCCCATGAGGGAATAGGTTCTGCTATTTATTTGTATTTTAAAATGTTCTAGATCAGGGGTCTGCAACCTTAAACACAAAGAGCCACTTGGACCCATTTCCCAGAGGAAAAAAAACACTGGGAGCCGCAAAACCTGCGTGCACGCACGCGCGAGGGGGGGGGAGAGCTTGATTGAAGAGTTTAATTAAAAAGAAATAGAGGCTGCTGTACATGAGTTCTCTTTCTCTCCCTCTTTCCTCTTTTTCTCTCTCTTTCCTTTCCCCTCTCTTTCTTTCTCTTTCCTTTCCCTCTCTCTCCCTCTCTTTCCTCCCCCCTCTCTCTTTTTCTTTCTCCCTCTCTTTCCTCTCTTTCTCTTCTCCCTCTATTTTTCTCTCTCTCCTTCCCTCTTTCTCTTTCCCTCTCTTTTTCTCTCCCTCTTTTTCTCTCTCCCTCTTTTTCTCTCTCCCTTTTTCTCTCTCCCTTCTCTTTCTCTACCTCTCT